ATAATGTGGAGTTAAACAATTCTGTGAGAGTGGAGGACAGAATCTTTCCGTGGCTGCAGTTTCCATCAAGCACTTCCCAGCACAGTTGCCTGCCATCCCTTTGAACCCACGTCTCCCATGTGACAGAGCAGTGATCTGGCTGCTGAGCCACTAGACTAATATTGTTCTTTTAATCTCACAAAAATGTGTTATAAAAGAGTTGGATTCACATGAGAAATTAAGTGTAAGATTTGTCCTCATAAAGACATTATACCATGAATGCTCTCTTTCTGCTGGCTGTAAGAATAGGTGGCTCAAGGGTGAAAGGGTAGCATTTACATTTAAATACACCTATTGGAATTGCACAAACAGAAGGCTAAAGCTACTGCTCCCTCTCGGAATGCTTTTAGAGTTTGCTGCTTTTTTTTACATAGTAGCATCTTTTTTTTTTTTTTTACCTAATCAAAAAGGGAAATCGAGATGCTTAAGATCCCATAAAATAAAGTAAAGTAGGTCTTTGTGCCAGCAAGATAAATGGATGAGCCTTTTCAAAGTAATTATTTTACTTTTTTCATCTGTATGTGCCACTCAGGAGGTGAAATCCAGATTTCAACCAGAACTTTCTCTGCTGTTGCACTAACTGGTAGTGCTGACTGGGTGGATGCTGATTACATTTCCCAGAGAAAATGAAATGCACCTTTTTTTTTCTTTTTTTTTCTTTTTTTTTTTTTTTTTTGTATCTGCCAAACCCAGATTTACCCTGTGATAAAACAGAAAGCTTCTTAACATCTGGAGAAAACAGAACCTGAAACAGGGTGGGAAGGGCATTTAGTGCAAAGGTAGCCTGGCAGCCATGGTGCAAGCTCAGTGAAACCCTTGAAATGCACCTGCTTGACCCAGGCCAGGGCTTATTCCCTTATTCTCTTTCCTCTCCAACAGCTTTCTCCCCTCTGTACAGTGACAGAGGCTTATGGGCTGGAGTTGCAAAACCTCTGGGCTTACCTTTGCTCTTTAGGATTTTTGATTGAAGAAAAGAATAAAAAAAAAGAAAAAAAGAAAGAAAGAACCCCAAGTGTATTTTCCTTGATTTTTTCTTCAAATTGTTGATGGCTCTTTTATCATGATTTTCCACTATGCATACAAGGTCCAAAACCAAATGTGCATGAATAAATGCCTTAAAATTACAATGTAATTGGAAATCAGGAATCAGGAGCTCCATGCTGAACAATTTTTGCACATACTCCCTGTATGTATTAAATTACTACACAACATATAGCTAATAACACAAATCATTAAACATGTTCCAGACACCTCTGAACATTTAAGAACTTGAAATCCAGATCTGGATGTTCCAGTTTCTTAATATGTAGTTAGTAATTTTTCTATTGAATATGTACACAAATCTGTTATATTTATATATAACTTGGACAGTGGGGAATATTAAGTAATTAAAACAAAAATAATCCAATGATAGGAACTTTGGAATCTTTGCTGAGTGAAATGATCCCATCATCAAAATACATTCAAAGAAAGGAAGAGTAAAGGAATCCATAACACCATGGTCAGTATCCCTCTATGGGTCTTTGTTTTTAGAGCATATCTGACTGTATTTTGTTTGGGTTTTTTACAGTTTTGTCCTATACAGCACTAAGAGTCTATATAAAACAAAACAGTGTGTCCCTTGTCCTCCTCATCTAGCAAGTACTAGTCCTCCTAGTAAGCCTTCCTAACTTTCATGGTCTAAGAAGTGCTGAATAATTATTTTTTTCCTGTATACTTTCTTGATTTTTAATTATTTTATGTCAAACACTCATCAGTTATCTTTTTTTTCCAAGCCAAGGAATCCTCTCCACCTAAACTCTCCATGTAGAGAAGCTTTTCCACATGTCAGATAGTCCTTGTTGTACCCGGCTTTGGCTCTCCTCCTTCTGCTATGCCTTTTTGGAGGTGAGGGATCAGAGGTGTGCTCAGTAGTGACTCTAAACATCCTCAGCATTGTTATTCTTCCCCTCAAAAGGACTCTTGAAGTGCTGTGTGGACTCTGACTGCTAGTGTGCATTGGGATGACATTCTCTTGGAGTTAAAAGTCCATTTTAAGGAGAACTTATCCTCATGGCCCTCAGATTCATAGGGCCATGTTCGCTGAATTCAGAGGACTTTATGTTCTCTGCAGGGCAGTTTAGAAAACCTAAATTTCATACCTGTGTTTTGAACTTACACTGCAAAGAATGTGCCTCAGTGCTCCTGAAGGAGAAATCCCTTCCAGCAGCTAACAGTCTGTATGCCTCTTATGTGTGAAAATTTAACCAAAAATTGTCTTCTGAGCAATAAAATAGAAAGTAAAACCCATATTCAAAAAGTAGAGGGGATGGTAGATGTTCTGAGATTCTGGTTCCTGGCCTCAGTTTCCTGTTTTCAGTAGTAGTGTAACACAAAATGCAAAGTTTTTTCCAAGAAAAAGAACCAGAATCAATCTACTACCACTATTTGAGAGGCAAGTAATTTCTCTTGTTTCTGGAGAAACCTTGTCAGGTTTCTCTTCTAGGTCAAAGAAGGAAGCTTGTAGTCACTTTTGGGTTTTCATATCATTAGACTGTGGTCAGAAGATGCTGCAAGTTGCTGTTTGAGGTTAGAATCAGACATCTCCATTCAAATTCAGGCAATATTATTGGGTATGGGCAGAGAAGTTACTGAGAGTTAGAAGTTACTAAAAGTTTAGTGTCATGAAATTATATCAAGCAGAGCTCAGCTACAATCAAATATTTATTTCCTAGTTTGAGGCTCTCATTTTACGCTTTGAATGAATAAAATACAGCCTGGCCAAACACAGATTGTGAGACAAGTGCAAGCTCTCCTTAGAGGTTAACAACCTGGTTTCTCTCGCACGCCAGTTTTACGGTCATTTAGCTCCACTGACTTTGGTGGACTGAGTGCTGATTTACAGCATTGCTTCAGTGCAGGTTTAAAGCTGTGCTGCACACTAGCAGTGCTGGCGTCAGGTCTTTGGGAGCAAACTGTTTTTGCATTCTGCTTGCCACAGTGGTATCAGTTCTGAGGCCACAAAGAAAATATTTATTAAATCTAAATCCACAGAGAGCATATTTGGCAAAAATTGTTTTGGTTTCTCATTTGTGTCATTATTTTATCATTTAATGAGGTTTGTTGGTTTTTTTTCTCCTCCAGCGATTTATCACTTACTGAGGCAATCCTGGGATTTCAGATCAGAAATATAGATCAGAAGCTTACTAAGTCCATATTTGTGCATAATTTTGGTTGGAATACCTACCATCAAAGTGCAATCTAAAAAACCCTGTTAAATTTAAAAACAGAAGCCCAGGAACTAAAAAGATAGAATAAGTAATTTTAGGCATGACTTGGAAATTAGTTTACCTCCTGTCATCTCTCCTATGTGTGATTGTAAGTTTGCACACAATGGACTACCATTTCTTCAATTTAATGTGCACCACCATAGGAGGTCTCCTGTGCTGCTTTTCTTACCTCATATTGGCTTCCAAGTGTAGAGCAGGCAGGAAAAAACATCTGAGTGAATGTATCTGATCAAGCAATGAGAATCCGTGCTCTTCGCTTGACTCATGTTGAGACAAAATACTGTGGGAAAACTGAGCACAATAAACTTTCAGCCTGCTCCTCTGCAAGGTAGATACAGCCTTGCCTGCTGGAGTTCTCCTTTAGGATCTTGAGCTCATGTAGGCTGAGGATATAGAAGAGCACATGTGTGCTCTCTGGTGTACTGATTAAATTGCCAGAGCTCACTTTTCAGAGTCCTTAGTCTGTCACTAGGAAGCTGTAGAATGATCTTCCCTATGAGCCAGCCCTTGTCCTCTTACCCAGTGCAATGGCCATGTTCTTTGGAGAAGAGATCAGCTCTCTTCTCTTTCCCCTTAACACAATCTGAAGTGTGGTAGGAACATCAGGAGGGCAGGGCAGCATTAAAAAGGAGGATTTGTTTCCTGAGAGATGGCATTGTTTCTCAGTTCCCAGCAGCAGAAACTTTAAACTAATGACCTTTCCAGAACATGTAAGCCAGCTGAGCCCAAGACTCATGTTCATTTTGATGATTTGATATTTTGATATGAACATTTCTAGCAGGGAAAATGTTTTGCAACATCATATTAATGATAATAATAAATAAAACCATACTCCCTTTTTTTGCCGCAGAAACAATCTCCAAAAACAAATCCAACAATTATTGGGTAAATAATCGTGGTTATTTACCCAATGGGTCTTGTGGGGCTTCTCAGCTTTTACAGTTGTCAGGGTCAGTGCAAGACAGACCCTGCCGAAAGAACCAGGTACCTGTAGTGCCAGTCCTGTGTTTCTCTTCCTCCCCCTCACCCAAATCCTGACTTTAGGGAGGGAGCAGATATTTTTTTCTTATGTGCCTGGCTTGCTGGGAGAGCCGCATAGCTGTGGTCTGTTTGCTCAACATTAGCTGTGCTGCCCAAGTGTGAAAGCAAGCATGGAGTGTAGATTCTCTCAGACTTCTGTGGGATCTGGAGCAGATCCATGAGGAATGCTACTGTTTTCAGCACTTCCCTTCCTCTGCCTAAGACCAGGCACACTGAGATATGAATGTTGTTACAGCTGCCACATACTATATATAAGCCTCATGTTGATGATTATTGCTTTAAACTAGGAGGTCTTTGTTTAAAAATGTTTTCTTCCCTCTAGAATCTACTAGGTTGAGTTATACTTAAAGTAATGCTTTCTATTTTTATTACTGTTAACAGTGTACCTGCAATTTACATAATATCACAGTTCGTATTTATAAAAAAATACAGCTTATTTATTTATTTGTTTGTTTATTTATTGTGCAGACAGCTTTATAGTACTGGAGAACTAGCCCCAAATTAATTGAAAAAAATTGGCCTATTAATTTTTCAATTGTTCATATCATTTTCTGTTTTGGTTTCTTTACTGCTTCTAGTGGATCTGTTTCAATCCACTCCCTCAATTATAATGCTCTTCTTTAAAATATAATGAACTCTGTTGCATTTCAGAGAGCTGCATGGTCAACTCATGTCCCTTCTGTCACCTTGCTGAATGCCATGTCACACTGCCAATGCTTGGAAGCACTCACTGCTGGCTTCTGCAAGACTGGAAGGAAAGGAAGACCTGGACACATTGACTACATCTCAACTATTAAACAAAATTAGTCAGATAATTTTCCTGGAGGCCAACTGGCATGAAATAGCTTGAATCCACCTAGCTATCTTGCCCTCAAATCACAGTGGCCACATCCAAAGTATCTATTGGAGATGGTGCCAGACCTGGGTCAATACCCAAGCTATGCTTTGGCGTTGTCTGGAAGAGCATTAGCAGGCTTGCACCAAAGGCATGCCAGGGACCAGTTTGGTGGTATGGATGGTTTCAGGCCCATGCCTTGCTGGTCTTGTTTAGTTTATTTAATGTCAGAGGGAAACCTCAGTAATTCTGCCAGGAGTCAACAGAAAACCCCCTTCTGGCCTCAGCAACCAGGAGCTGCTGTGAAGCATAATCATTAGTTGTTCATCTCCTTCACATTTGGATTCTTTTTCTCATTTTATTTTTTACCAAATGAGCCCTGAAAATATTTGAAATCTCATCGAGTAATAAAATTGGGTTGCTGTCTGCACAAAACTTGTTGGTTTTGAACTACCAAGAGATTTTTCACACAAGCTGAGCTTCTGGAAAAGCCAGCTTCCGCTCTCCTCCCTGATGAAGGGTCTCCTCTGGCTTTGAGCAAGTTGCTAAGAGCTTGTGTGACCATTGCCCTGTTTGGATATAGGGATAAAAAGCAATGAGGTGCTGAGATACAAACACACCATTTACTTGGGATCACATAAGCATGCTCAACTGATGGGAACATAAAACTCCCTTTGATTTCTGTGGCAGCTTATTTCACGTGTCTGGGAAGGCAATTTATTTTAAACACTGCAAAAAGGACATTGAGTATGTTGTTATATCAGGATCTTTTCAAAGTCAGAGCTCTGGGGCTGGGTTTGGAGAAGCCTGAAATGTCCTTCAGACAGTGGGAGGTGGTGGAGAGCTCGTGCTCTGTTTCGAGTGCTACCTCTGTGCATTATCCCATGGAACACTGTACTGTGTACACTTCTGTGTTATACTTCTGCCTGCAGCAATATAAGTCAGAATCAGGCAATTCATGCCTGAATCTTTTTCCCTGTTCTGAAGATAAAGGGCAGTGAAGGCCGAGTAGTTTTAAAGAGCTCATCGTACAAAATTATTGTATTAGGCCATGCTGTATTACTGAGATTACAGAAAATTACCTACGTGTATTGAATTAAACCATGATTTTCCAATGATCTCAGCAGCAGCAGCAGAATTGGGACAATTTAATCACTGCATTATCAGTTTGGTAGATAACTACTATCCTGAATTGCGGCTCAAAATGAAAAAATGGTATTGTTTTATCCAGAAACTAGCCCTTATTTAACTTCCAGCACTAGCCCTTACTTTGCTTAGATCTCAGGCACATATTTGAATTTCTGAAGCTGACAGGTACTGATTTCAACATTTAGAGCAATGCATGTTTTGCCTCAGGTTTGCTACAGGGTGAGTGTGCTCTTAATTAATGTGGTCATTTGATGTGTAGTACCTTGCTGAGCTATTAGAACTTGACTGTGTGCTTTTACCCAGTGTTTCTTTTTTGGTTAAAAAGTCTGTTTCATAATTTACCTATTCATGGATCAGTCTCATAAAGGAGGTTGTTGTGTTGTCATACCTTGCCAAGGCTGTACAAATCTTATTTAATGAAAATGTTATGAAGCAAAGAATCAAGTTGTTGTCCAGAATATTCAGAATACTCAATATTCAGAAATTGGTATGTTTTTCTCTGAGCTGGATTTTGAACAGCAGGAAGCATGGTAAAACAGAGGAGGAACATTTAACCTTATCTAATTTTGCCTGCCTTTTCCTTCCCTTTTCTGTCTTGCCCCTCAATCTTCAAGCACTCTCACATGGATGCTTGCATATGGCAGTGGCTCTACTCAGACCTACTGAGACCAGTGCATCAGTTAAGGATTGTAAGATCATAATGTGTTTATTTTTGCAGTCTGATCTTCTAAGAAACTGAGGAGGTCTTGCATCTCCCTCCTACTGATAACAGTGGTGTTGAAAGAGCTCAGTGCATTCCAGGGCAAAGCCTTGGAGGCTGTGGGTTAGAGAGCTGCTAACTCTCCTTTGGAAGTACATGCAGATTCCTTTGGCCTTCACTGGGGGAAAGCCTGGCTCCCCACTAAAGAAAAAGAAAAGAAAACAATGAAAATCTAAGATACAAACCCCCAACACAATAGTTGTGGTGGTCCAAATAAAACATAAAATCCCCAGTCTCAGCCCAGGCACTCAGTCTAGGGAGGCTTTGGAATTAGGGGCTCGAAGCTTGACCCAGGGATGAGTCCATGGTCTCTGTGTGGGAGAAGGGTACAGGCTCTGGCTGTGCTCAAGTGGGCTTTGGTGTGCAGGGACGTAGCCCAGTGGCCTGGGCTGGTAGTCCCAGCCTGCTGGCTCAGTGCTCATTCACCCTGCACAGCTCTGAGCTGTGCTCTGCACCATCACCCCAGGCTTCATCTCAGGCTCTTTCTAACTCTCTTTGGCTGTTTTAAAGCTGGATCCTTTCAGCTTATATTCTCTCTCAAACAATTCCCTCTCCTCACCCCGGCCCCTTCTCTACTTCCACAACTGAACTCACTTTTCCAAACTGCCCATTCCACCCTCTATCCACTCCATATGTTTATATTTTCCTATTGCTGAGGCATGGCATGCTGACCTGCCTGGACAGAGCTCCTTTATCACAGAGATAAACATGATGTCCCCCTCACATAGAGTTTCTATCATGTATGACCTTTCATCTTGAACTGCCATGACCTTTTTTTTATTAATGCTGTACTGTGCTGCTTGCAGAAGCCAGGAAAGAAAATCTTTTGTTTCTAGATAGAATACTGCTAAAGGACATGATACGGTCTTGTTTTTAATCCAGCTAATTAAAATCTGCATGTGCAGTGTAACTGAGAATGCAGCCTTCGCCCACCACTTTCCCACAGGCAGGGAATAAAGGCCTTTAGTGCAGCAGCAGCTAGCCACCCTTGGATAACAGAGAACAGAGACCACAATTCATCCCAGCTTTCCTTATCATATTCACAGAGGGCTTTCCCCTCCCTCCCTCTTTCCCTCCCCCTCTCTCTCCATGGAATCACTTACTGTAGCTATGTGCCTCTATATATCACTGCAGAATGTAATCAAGTTAAAAATATGTTAGCTTGCATTTATCTATGCTCCAGTGAGCTTCAAATATAATTCATTTCTAGTAAAAAAAAAAAAAAAAAAAAAAGAAAGAAGGGGGGGTTGGAAGGGGGAGAAAGAGAAAGAAAAAGAAAGAGAAAGAAAAAGTGACTATTTCTAATCAAGTGTCAACCCTATTTATTTTAAAACAGTTCTGCCAAGAACTAAGTGAATATCACTGTTTAGCAGTTCACACTTTTGTATGTTCATTATGTTGACTTTTTTGGATTTACTGGACGGTTGTGGTTATTACTAAAGCTGCCTTTTGTGTGTGTCAGGGAGAGGGTGCCATGGGATTTTTTCTTATGAAACATTTTCTTGGTTAGTCTTTCTCTTGGTGGTTTTTGTTGGGTAACTGAACTGGGGAGGGAGGAGGAAAAGGAGGGCAGCCTGGTGGGAATGAGCAGTGAGAGCAGAATGGGAAGCATTAAAATTGAGCCCCCACCTGTTTTCTCTTTCTTCAAGTCATGTTTTATATGATGATGATGAGGTCATCAGGATGCATAAAAATGTGCCAGGAGATTCAAAACTTGGAAGGAGATTGTACAACATGAGTAGAAAATACATTTGAGTGCATGTGCAGAATCCCTTCCCCCAGAGAAGCGCACAAACAGGCTTTCTGTGGTCATTCCCTGGTAACCCGCACAAAAGAGCTGCTCAAACAGCTGTGCCTTTGGCTGAGCACCATCCTTGGGGCTGCTGTGGAAAATGCTGATTTTGGGGCATTAACTTCCCCAACAAAAATTCAGAGAAATATACTTACAGTTATTAATGGAAGGGGTTGTGAATCCTGAATAAATATGCACCGTGTTGGAAAATTATTTCCTTTATTTATCAAAACAAAAGATTCATATGTGCGTTGTACTCAGGGAATGATTAAAAGTATATGAAAAAACAATGTTTTGAATTCCAATACAGCTTATTAGGTGACATCAGTCTAACTAAAGTACCTGACATATTTTAAAAATCTCTAAATATTTTGATAACAGAGAACAGTACGATTAAAAGATGTCAGAAGTACCATGCTGCCTATATATTAAAATATGCCATGTTGATCAAGCACAAGAGTGCTTTTCATAAAAATTTTATTATCTTATGCTGAAAATTTGGTTTTCTTATGCTGAACTTTAACAGGAATAGAGATCTGCACACTTTTCTGCTTTTACTACCTATGGAGGGACAATATTAAATAAGAAATAGCTATTACTATACTTGTATAATTCTGATATATTATATTTATATACCATGGCATAAGTTTTTATGTATTTTGGAATTAATGTCAAATCAGTAAAACAGTGGTAGCCAAGAAGACATTTATATATATTTTGCCAAGTTAAGGTTTTCTGTTTCTCATCTTTTGAGGAATATATTCAATAATTGCTTTTTAATAGTGACACCTACTTTGACACACTGAAAAGGTTGTTAATGTCAAGTCACATATTTGATATAAAATTACTGTTTGCATATTGCATAAGCAGTATAAGATTTATGAAGCTTCATGTATTCTATTTAAGTGAGCTAATCCTAATAAATATGGCATTTTTTATTGTTGCTTAGCAGTCTTCCTTAGACATAAAATTAATTTGTATTTTGGGGAACAATTACAATTTTTATGGGCAGAGCCAATGTTTAATTATGTCTTGTTATTCTGTGTAACTAATAACAAATTAGGGTGGTGATTATTATTTTTGTCACTAATAGCTGTTGTTGTAGGGCACTTTTTAAGGAGAGGGCACATAACAAGAACTAAAAATCAACCCATTGCTATGTTAGTCACACATGGCAAGCAGCATGGCATAAATTCCCTCTGGAAGTTACTGAAGGATGCTGAACATCAGGGCATGCTAAAGGTCAGGCTTAATAATGGGGCATAAATCTCAGATCCCCACAGTGAACATCTAATGTAATGAAAATCAGGATGTCTTTACTGACTGCCTAAACCGCTTTATGCGCTCACAGCTACGTTCACAAAGTTTAGCTTGTGATAGGACCCAGAAGTGTGTAGGAGGTTCTTGTCAATACACTTAATGAAAAGAGGATCAAAATAACATTCTGTAATCTCACATGTGGGACCTGAACCTGCACTTCTGATGTTCTGATTCATCAGTGTCATCAGCAACTGTTTACAGGGATTCCTTGTTGGTGATTCCATGGAAAATAAGACTGTGACAGGAGGCCATACATGAAATTCTGTACCAAGTTTTTGAGAGTTTTCAATTTCTTTTTCAAAACTTTATTTCAAAATAAAACTTTATTTTATTTCAAAGTTTTCAAATTTTCACTGTTTATACAGTAGGTAACTTTTTCTGCCACCTTTTTATTAACCTTGAGCAGAACAGATATATACTGATATTACTGAGAGGATATTCTACACTAAGTGAAAGTTCAGGGTACTGAAGAGGATGACATGTAACATGGCAGTTATTTAAAATATTCACCTATGGTTGCAGAAAGATCCCTTTAAAAATGACCCTTCTTCTTTCCTGTACTATCCCGATATTTAACTAAGTACTAAAATCAGTGTCAAAAGGAGTGAAAGGAATAATTGTGATTAAATTCCTTTTCACACTGCAAATTCCTCTCGCAATCCAATTCTCAGATTTCATTGCATCCATCCCTTCTTAAGAAAAGCTGGCTGGCCCAATTGTGCAAGAATGTTTTATAAGGCTATGAAACCAAAGGCTGGTTAATCAGGCCCTTTCTGCAAATGATGAAGACCAAGGCAGAAATGCTGCAACCAAACTGATGATTCAGGGGAACAGTAGGAGGCAGCTGCTGAACTGCAAACAGAATGTGAGTCACCTTCTCCCTCACTCTTGAATGAAAACAACCCAAACCAAAACAATAATATGATTAGAAATTACTTTCTCTACCCTCAGATTGAGGGAAGAGAGTGGCAGCCCATCTGTCCTTGCTTAAATAACTAGATAAGTTTATTACTCGTGGCGGATGGAATGGTGTAGCCACATAGCTCTGGAAATGGAAGAGTAATGCTGACCAAATAATCATGCCAAAGTCAGGTAAAGAATAACTCTGTGTGAATAAAAACCAACTTGGAACCTGGAATTTAGCCTTCTGTAACAGCGTAGTCACAGCAATAATCCTAATAAGTAATGGGAACATAGGGACAGGACTTGTTAGTTATAAATAATTAATCACCAGCAATGGGAAGTCTGTGGTAGCAGCAGGAGCCCAAGGCTGGTGCCCAGCAGGTAGCTGGCAAATGAAAGGTGATGGGCACACACTATGTCTCTTGCCCTTGCCAGCCTCGAGTGAGAGGTATCAACTACTGAAACAGAGCAGAGGAACCACTTGCTGAAGGCATTGTAAAGACTTCTTTCTGCTCATTTATCCCTTGTTTGTCAGTAAGGTCCCAGGTGGTTTTATGGAACATGATTATGTGCAGAAGGAGCAAGGTGAGCTTCCACTCAGTTCAGCATTAAATTGAAAATGGGTCTTTGCAAACTCTTCTTCTCTGCCTGTGGTAAGAAGCCTTGAACTCCTTTAAGGAAACAACAACTGAAATCCGTTTTTCCAAATTCAAACCCGATGCTGTTCCCATTCATACTGGTTGGATCAGTTTGCCTATGTATTCCAACATCAAGTTTTTATCTTTCCCTGCAGAAAATAAAATCCTGAACTGTACCTTCTACCCAAAATCAGGAAAACAATTTTGGATAGGTAGAGTATCCAAAGTTCAGTTTTCTGAAATTATGCCCACAAGCAACTAGCCAGAGTTTGGCTCTCTCAATTTGTTCACTTCCTATGAGGATGGCAGTATTATGACATTTAATATGAACACAATATTCCAAAGAAAAACAAAATAATATGTTTTGCACATTTTCTGGTACCAAGAGATTACCATTTTCTGCTGCTGTTATTTAGAAATATTGACATACATATATGTAGCCTTTCTAATTTTCTCAAAAGAAATGGGAACAATCTTATATCTGAGAAACCTAGCTAAACATTTACTATTGTGGTTCATCTCAGTTTTACCTTTTTGTATATTAAACATGGAATAATTTCTCTCTGACAGACAAGTACTATGCATATGCACAGCCCAACACATCTACCTTGCTCCCTGTCATGGCAGGAGGATGGGGATAATTCTTCTGTTTTCACTAGATCAGGTAGGACATTGGTAGCAGCAGACATTTTACTACCACTGCTGCAGTTTTTGGGTTCCCAATGGCTGAAATGTGCTGGACACATCCTTGACAGCTTTAACCCATTGAAAAAAAATGGAACATCTCTAAAAGTTTCATTTCAAAATTTAGCCAGCATCAAATCTGGCATAATCTGCTTTCAGAAGAGAACATGTGAGTTCTTAGAAGAAAATACTCCTGAACGCTCAGCAGCTGTTGAAGTTTACTCCTGACCACATCTCTGGGAAGCACACTGAAACACCCCACAGGAACAAGGGATGCATAAAGCCTACAAGCTCGTTACCAGGTGGAAAAGTCATTCTGTAACAACTAAGAGATGAAATGAAAGAAAAGAGACCCAGTTCAACACACATGAACTTTCTAAATCAAGGTAACTGAAAGGTCAAGAGAATAATCTGAGTGATCAGCAAGGTGGTGAGGCACACACCAAAAGTCAACTTCAGGTGTGCTTCCAATCAGCTGCTTGTTTTGAGAGAACATAATTTCAACCTAATTTTTTGCACCTTCAGACTGGTTATCTGGATTAGCCTGATACTTAACATGTGCCCTGAGAATTTGCTCTCTTTTTTCTGAGGCTGTTGATGCCTGTGCTTGGGGTCCCGCAGGCTTTACTTATACATTACAACATTGTATTTCCCTTTTCCTTGGCTTTGCTTGCAGAAATCTATCAACAAGCCTGTAAATTTTTTGTTTCTTTTTCATTGTCTACCATTTTTTCTTTTGTAAAATGATGCCGCTCATGTCTTGAAGGTCATTAAATATCCTTTATGTAAACCTGCAAATGCTCATCGAGATGTTTAATATCTTTCTCTGAGTTGCTTTAATTTCTAGCTTTAGTGTTTTCCTCATCTTTTGTCTCAAATGCTTTCTTTTAGCTTCCAAGATTTCTACATTCTGTGTTCTCTTTTATATTTCAAAGTGCTTGGAACATTCTGACACATTTATAAAAGTTCTTGCATAGATATGCTTTTTCAGAGACTCAGCTGCTCACATCATGTTTTTTCTAAGAGTTTCTTTATTTTGGTGGCTACTACCCTGGTAGATGGAATTCTTGACTCTTCCATTTGAATCTGGTAAGTAATCTAAAAAGAGCTAGGTGGCCTTGGTGTAATTTGTGAGGCTGGGATTTGATTTCTTTATTTACAAACAACCAAGAACTTCATTGGTTTCTATAGTGAAGATGGAAATATTGCCCTTGAAGATAAACTGAGGTTCAGGAGGGACAATTGCTTTGGAAGCAGTGAATTTAGGAAGCAAATGTAAACTTTCTTAGCGCAATGAAACATAATGCGTTCCTTTGAAGTATGTTTCAAAAAATAAGGAGTTTTAATTAATTATGCTTTGAATTTAGTACATGAGTTGACTTTTCATCTCTGACTTTGACTTGATTAGCTGTCAAAATACTATTATTATAATAATATTTTAAATTTTTTTTTAGAAATTCTTTATTTGCTGCCTTGGAGGTCATAACATAAATTCAGGCAGTTATAAAACCCTTCCTTCTATTTCTAAGCATTTGTTCTTGGAATAAATCCCACTGAAGTCCCTGGGAGTAAGGGACAATCTGGCCCATGATATGGGAGAGTTACTTTTACAATAGCTGTGTCTTGTCAGGTACCCTGCTTTGTGTCTGTTGGGCTCACTATGGAAATAAATTATCCTTTGTCAATGTCTTGTCGGTAGATTTAAATAAGTCTTAGAAGATTAGTACGACACAGTTTTCTCTGTAGAAACTCTGCTAATTTGACTCTGTGGCATCCTGAACATCCAGTCATTTTATTATTTTGCTTTTAATGTCTATTTCAAAGTAATGCCTTGAAAAACCAGTAGACACTTCTAAATAAAGGTACATCACTTGCTCCCTCCAGTCTTCTGAAACTGTTGTTTTCTTGCAGTCTGAAATTTTAGTTTCCTCACAAATTTCATGTTTTGTGGGTCCAGTAATTTTTAAGAAGTTTCATATATTGGCAAGTCAAAACTTTGCACAGCTGCTCCTCTTCATTAAAAAAACCAAACAAATGCCTCCCCACCCCCAAAAAAGCCAACTCCCAAAAAATCCCATTCCTTAAACAAAACAACGAAACCCAAGATGTTTTGAGAATAGTAATTCCCTGATGTTCTGAGCAAAGAAAACTGATGCAGGAAAATAATATAGCTCTCCAACAAAATGACACAGATTTTCTAATTGGTTTCTTTAGGTCCTTCTATTCCAATGCCATCACTGAGTGTTGTATGAGCTTTTTATTTCTGATGGACTTATTTTTTTTTCCACCACCCCTCAGCTTGTGATAAACCCTCCAATTCATGCCCCAGCTTCCTGCTCCTGATATACAGAACACATGTCAGAACAACTGGCCTAACTGGAAATTAAAAGAAAAAAAAAAAAACAACAAAAACCTACAAAAAAAGAAAACCTAACAAAGAACCCCCCCAAAATACTAGAGAGATATACTATAAAATAAAAAATAGAGAAGTACAAGCACCAACCCAGTATGAGCTTTAGGGTGATAAAATCAATATTTTGGAGATTCTAGAGATTCAGTTGTAGTGAGATGTTTTTTTTGTTGCTAATATAAATTTCTTGGGCTTGTAAAAGATTCAACGAACCCATGGCTGTTTCTCATTAGTGGTGGCTGTCACTAAAATGAATATGTTGCTGAGTGTTCAGTTTCTGGGAAACGTGGTTGAAACACGAGCAGCTCTCTCGATGCAGAGCTCAGAGTCAGATGTTTTCAGAGGGGATGTTCCCCATTAAGTAATGACAGAGAACCATACGGAACACATTACAAATCGAAATACTGATTGATGAAGTGCCTGTGGTCAGCTTTCTACAGAAATGAGAATTTTGAACGTATTATCACGTCAGCATGGAATTGATCTCATGTACAATCACATTTTGTTTTCATTTCTTTTTTGCTTTACAGTCTCACATGTGCTGTTCCAGATCACGTTTATAGCTAGCCGAACCTCAGACTAAAGGAAATAAAGCATCAAGTTTGAGCTCTGATGTTTCATTGATTTAGCCAAGTTCACAGAAGCCAAGTATGTCTGAGTTTGTTCACACAGCTGGTGAGCTATAAAGTCTTTCTCCCAACAGTGAACTTCTCCCCTCCCTCCAAGAGCTGGGAGAAGGGACTCAGAGTTTGCTGAAGCACATAGACCTTGGGGAGGGAGAAGAAGTGGGGTCACCTGGTCAGGCAGAGTGGCTCTTGTGTGAGATTGAATTTATCAGACTAAAAGCTCCTCTTTGTCTTCCCCAAAGTAGATGCTTTCCTTCTTCCACTTAGCTCATTTGCAGGAATTTAGTGAGGAAAATCAACTGCTTCAGGCTGACTTTAGGGCAAGATTGCCTGATTTGTTTGCATTCAAGTTACTTATTAGTCTAGCTGTAAGTTCAGTTTTGTGTCAGATAAAGTGACCTCTTCTGTTTTACACAGAAGGCAAACAGGGCTGAGTGTATATGAAACCTGTGTACACAAATCACAATGAGTGCGTGACTGAGTTAGAGCGTATTTAAAGAAAAATATATAGTAAAATGGTGAATGTAGAGCTTTGGGTCTGCAAATCTAGCCCTTTTTTTTGCCAAACAATTCTTAAATGGTGCTTCAGCAAAAGCCTGAGCTGCAATAGACTTAGACACATATTTAGCATAGTGTTATGAACACTTAAGTATTTCTGTTCCTGAGATCCCAACATGAGATTATTGGAGTGGTAAGGCACATCAGGTGTGAGAGCAAAGTCTTGCTTGTGCCTTTGCTAATGGAAACACACTCAAGTGAATACAGTTGCTTGGTTTACATTTGCACAGCTGAGGCCATGGCTTGGCCTAGGACCTAAAAGTTTGAACATAAGGGAAAAATAACAATCAAATGTCTGCTAATGCCTAGAAATGTGAACAGTGGACTGAATCTAAAATTAAAAATTAGGAGAGAGAAATATCAGACATTCACGTAAAGCACTTGGGCAAAATTTAGGGTCTATTTTTTCATAATCATTGATTTCAGACAATTGGACCTGATTATTCAGAATTGTTAAGATTGCAGAATCCTTAGCTGAGTTCTCTGAAAATGAAATCTTTGAGACTTACAGCAAAAATAAAGTCTCCTAGCCCTCTTAAATACATGTGAGTGGTTGGGGTTTTTTTCTAAGAATTAGCCACGGTAAACTGTCTTTCAGGGATCTGATTTCTGCCCTTCAGACTTCTACAGATGTTCTTCAAAATGCAGAACAAATGTACCTTCCTGATAATCAATTTGTTAGTTTTCACTTCGTGTTTATTCATGTCAGAAATGTGCATTGGTATGTAAGCAAACAATAGTGTTTAAGTGCTTAATTATTTCAAAGGACAAATAAATGTGGAATAATATGAGGAAATATTTACAAGCAGCTGCTCAGGGTTATCAGATTTCAAGTTATCTGTAGCTTTCATAATTATTTCAATGTTCTTGTATTATTAAAGATATAATGCAACTATGATACTGATAGTAATTAGCTGAGATTCTACTACCTTTCAGATATTTAAGTCAAGAAAATACTGGAAGTCTTTTTGATAATGATGGTTAATCTTTGGCAAAGATACAGACTTTTGGTGGGGCTGAAGGACTTCCTGGCAGGAGGAAGCTTGAGAGAGCTGCAACTCTTACTCAGATTGCCTTCCCCATCTACAGTTTTCTTACCACACACAAAGACCCTGCAGTCTTCATGTTTCTTCAGCCCAGCACTATGAGCTCTGCTCTCAGAAATGTTGAAATTCTGCTTTTGGTACTGTCCAGGAATTGCAAGTTTGAGTTTAGATTGGGCACAGATTAGGAAAGACTCATTGAGCTTTTATGTGGCATGAGGCTCCAATCTCATGAATCCTGCTAGTCTTGGAGGATCAAATATCCCAAGTCCTCACTGAGGCTGCTTCCCCAGCCCAAGATGAGCAACAGCCATGGTCCTTATCTGAACAGGAGAGCATCTTGGGTGAGATGAGGGAAAGGTTGATGGCATTTCCTTGACCTTGTGTGTATCTCAGGAGGACTCAGTCCCATAGTATGGTTTGGCCTGGGATAGTTGAGGCTTTGGTGCCAGAAAGACTAATTAGTACTGGATTGGGTGCACATATGCACACTTCTGGCAGTGTAACCAACAGATAGGTTTTGTGACTTCTAGGCTTATTCTGCTCTGACAGGAAGCAAGGGTGTGGTTCCTGGCTCCTAAAGCTGCTCCAAGCAAGGGCTGAGCAGGCTTGCCCTGCAAACCCCTGGCCATGTGCCTGGGCTGCTCTCCTGAGCTGGAACTAGCGCTGATGCGAACATGTGGTGAATAAACTCTGAGCTGCAGGGTGAGGTCAGTCAAACAGGTTATCTGTGTGTTTGGGCTGCCTTTTTTTCTTTCCAGCACTAGGCACTCTAAAACTGATAGACTACCTCAATGCACTAGAGGTTTTCCTATGGGTCAGATAAAAAAAGGAAATTCCTCTTTCTCCCTCCACTGAAAGTTTCTGAGCTTCTCCTGGGACCTAAATCAAGGAATTAGGAATCTTAGATATTATTGAATTAATCTTCTCCAGAACTTGTTTTTTGCATGCATGAAGATAACAGCGTAGTTTTGTTTCAGATAAAAATATTCAGACAGCATTGTGTGAATTGCTGCAGCTGTAGTTACCATTTTCCACAAGTATGTGTTACAGACAGAGAAGACTTGCCAATATAATCACCACTAATACAGATTTCTCTTTCCTTTTGTTACTGTTTCTACTGAATGGCTGTGTTTGATTGCTTTATTTTTTTAACTTGCCAATTCTTATACATTTCAGCAACCCTAAAAAGAATATTTTCAAAATGGTCAGGTAACTAAAGACTTTCTTTCTCAGATGGGACCTGGTGCTTGTATGTGGGTCTGGAAATGCTGTTACCTGCCAAAACACTAGTGAAACTGGTGTGATACAGACATCTAAATCTTCTGAGAGTCTTGGTCTCATATAGAAGATCTGGCACTAGTACAACCATTTAGGTTACTGGTATGTGTTTTTATTGAAAAACATCCCACTACGACAACATTTATAAAGACATCCTATGTTGTTTCTTCCCTGTACTGCCATTTCCTTTCTAGATTGAAATAGGTGATACTTCTAAGAGTACCAGTATAACTACACCAATATTAAATGTTGTATTAACTATGTTTGACATCTTGTTGAAAGTTGTGACAGCCTCCTAAGTGCTAGTCTGTTCTGAAACTGAGATTTAAGGTCTAATTCCACAAAACTTTGCTTTCTTTTTAGATTGAGGCTTTTTGTCTCTTTGGCTCTCTTGGAAGATTTTTCTGTGGTTATATTTATACTGCCAAATCAGATTGCAATTCAAACTTTGGGTAGGATTTTGGGTATTATTATTTCTGTCTCATAATAAGACAGGGATTAGGAACAGAGTGAATGAAGAGTAAGATTTGAAGGTTTTGAACCTGACCTATTGCTCACCAGAAATCATTCCATGCTAATGTTGCAGTTTGAGACTTTTATTTTGAGTTTCCCTAGAATTTTTGAGGCAGTCATCTGAGATCTAAACAGCAAGGCTGCCTAAAAAGTAAACACATCCTTTTAGATGTGGTGAGCTGATCAGATTGGACATGAGTTCCAAGAATGTACAAAATTAAATCTATTTAATTTAGCAACAGAAATGTTACTGCACAGTGATAGCACAGGCATGACTCATCTCCAGTGTCGCAACACTGGTTAATGAACCAGAGAGATTGGACACAGAGATGACTGCTCTTGGCCTTGCT